AATAATAAACAAAAATAAACCAACTTGAGTGGAATGGGGGCAATAGGGTAACTTAACTATCTGTTCAAGCACTTCCTTAGGTTTCCGTAAATTTTATCCAGGTATCCCATAATGTCTCAAATTTCTCCCGTTCGCCTCGAAGAATAGATGTCAGTTTCTCCATTTCAAAAATTTCCCCGACCACTTTAGTCCAGTCTTTGACTGTTGGAGGATCTCTTGTCAACCATTTTCTTGTGATTGCCTTTTTGCTTGCTAACAATAAGATGTTGTATGTGTATTTCTGGGGAAAGTTAATGATAAAGTCAGGTTCCAGTCCCAAGTACAGGGCTTCAAAGGTCGGCGGGACCACTGTTCCCATAATCCTACCCATAATCATCCTTGTCTCTTCCCAGTATTTGGAGATGACCGGGCATTCCCAAAACACATGAAAATGTGAGGCTTTGCTATTACCGCAGGATCTCCAACAGGCTGTACTCATTCCTTGTGAAGTCCCTTGGGCCGGAACTCTAAAAAACCTGACTACATTCTTCCACCCAAATTCCCTCCAAGAGAGAGCTGATGTACACTTCCATTGCTGTACTATTGTTCTCTCCCATGCTTCCGGTTGAATTGTAATGCCACCCTCCTTAGCCCACTTGTTCTTTATGTATGTTGTATCTCCACCTTCTAGTTCCTGCAACTCTTTGTAAATTTTCGATATAGTACCCCGTCCAGGATCTGACCCATAAGATAATAGGAATATCTTGATTAAGCCGAAACCACTTCGTTGGACCCATCCTGCGCTTAAAATTTTATCGAGGTAATGTCTAAGCTGCAAGAATCTATAGAAATCTTGATTACTCAATCCGAAATTGGTTCTAAGATCTTGGAATTGTCGCATCACACCCCCCTTGAGGAGGTCCCGATATATCCTTAACCCTTTTCCGACCCATTTTTTAAATCCTGTATCCATTCTGTTTGGTAAGAAATCTGAGTCATACCCAATCCATCTTAGAAGTAAGTATGGGCTATTTTCTTTGTCTTGCCTTAATATTCCGTGCCACACCTTAATTGAGGTTCTTATCCAAGGGTTGACACTTTTAAGACAATCGATTAAACCAGGGTCCCCGATAATTGCTTGTAGTGGAATATCACAGGATACCTGACATTCGATGTCTTTCCACTTCGCACTATAGGATGGATTACAGATATTGACCAAAATCTTTACATGGGTTGCCCTATAATAATTTATCATATTCGGTAGGGAGAGGCCTCCCTTGCTTTTCGCCAGTTGTAAAGTCTTGAATCTAATTCTTGGCCTCTTCCCTTGCCAAATAAATCGCGATATTACTTTGTCCAACTCCTGGAACATATCCTTGGGTAAGTCAATTGCTAGAGTTTGGAATAGATATAATAGTCTGGGCAGCACATGAGGAACACTAATTTTAAAACTATCCTTTGCTTGAAACCCTAATTTGAAACCATAACCCTTGTTTGAACACCTAATTCTAGCCTTTTAGCCAAAATTTGAAATCCTAACCCAGGCTAATGATGTAAATGGAAACCTCTAACTTGTTCAAACTCAAGCTTCAAACT